GTCACAAAGGAATATAATATATAATTCTTTACAATGAAATAGATTAAAACTATAATATGTAATAAAATTTAACATAACTCCCTTTTTTAAAAAAATAAAGTTAAAAAGCAAAGGTGTTGTATCAAAGAATGAGACGGATTTCCAGACAACTGGAATGTTATGACTGGTGGCTTTAATAAATTACTTTGTCATGGTTCCAGAAATATATACCAATACATACATAATATGTATGTATAATACATTCCTAAATACCAATGCATAAAATAAATGAAGTACAGTGCAGATGTATCAGTCAATCTATCAAGCCTACTTGCAGAGGATTAAGTGAATCCACAATAATCTTTTATCAGACTTAGATAACACACAAAATATAGCCACCATGCAAGTAAAACAAAAATTTTGTAAATGCCCAGGAAGAAGCAATAAAAGAGATAAAATCAAGCCTGCTTTTTGTTTCTACAGGATCTTGTGGCAATTCATTCCAAAAATTCCAGGTTCACAAGAGGATGGTTTTAGTTTTCCACATGCATTTAAGGAATTAAAACTTACCATTACTTTGCAGACAGAGCTCTAATTCTGCTGTTTTCCAGCAAAACCTATTTGTGCCAGACTCTCACTTTCCTGCCATTACGTTATCTAGATTCTTGCCCCAAATTATCTGTTTAACAAACTTCTTTATAATACCATACAGGCTTTTCTTACTTTGGTATTATCAGCTATGTTCTTAACCTATCTGTCCACTTAATTTTTTGCCAATTCAGGGTCATCCTGGTATTACACAAACTATTAAAACTTCTTGTTAATGGAGCTGCTGCTGTTACATCAAATTCCTTTAAAGTGATCCCCAATTTACTGCATTTTAAAAGGAAGGAGACACTCAGGTTTTACCTTATTAAATCTCTCCAAGGGCAGATATTAAGTAATATAAGATGCTTTACTACCAGTAAAAAATGTGAAACTAAAAACATTTTAGAAAAACCTTCCTCATCTGCAAGAACAAAATTGACCCAACCCAAATATTCAAAGAAATATGAACTAAGAAAAATCATTTGAACAATAGTATTTAGCATTTGGTGGTATTTTTATTTGGTATATGCTCATACTTATTTTCCCCACAACAACAACAATCCTGTGAGACAGAATGACTGGCTCAAAGTTACCCAATGAGCTTCCACAGCTGTAAGTGGAATTATTCTCCCCATCCCTAGTCCAACACCTTAACAGCTATACCATATCACAGTGTGCTATATAGCTGTTTAACCTAGGAACATAATTAAAAGTAATCTTTGCAAAACCTTAATTGAAATATGTATGTTGTCTCCGAACCTGGAGCACAAAACCTTTTTTAAACGGAGGCCTGCATTTTTTCTAGGGGAAGTGACTGTCTGAAGTAACAGTGGAAATAACTTTAATCCTTCCTTCCTTCCTTCCTTCCTTCCTTCCTTCCTTCCTTCCTTCCTTCCTTCCCTCCCTCCCTCCGGCCATCACAGAAATTCCTCCATTGATCACTCATTCATTCCACGCACATATTACAACAATCCATCCACATCCAAACATTCATTCATCCTCTCTCAAGCAGGTGCAATATGAATAAGAAAAAGAATGTGGGGATAGGGTCATTTGAATGAAGAACAAGGAATGTTGGGCAGGCAAATTTGCAAGGATGGAGGCCTAATCATAGACTGTAGTGGCTAAAAGTTTTTTTTTTTCTGTGTCATTCTAGCTACACTGCATGAATGCATCCTTATCTAGTATTTCTTGATCACCTTAGAACAGCCTCCATTCTCTCTTTTTCGCTTTTCTCCATGTTTCATTATCAAACCTCTCTTCCCAAGAAAGAGAAAATGCCAAAAGTGATGGTGGGAAGGCAGGGGGATTCTTATTTGCCACAGAAGAGTAGTGAGCCAAATCCAAGTTATCAAATGACATGTGTCATTTTTATTTAATTACTTCCATCTGGAAAACTGACATACTGACCCTTTATTATATTGTTATTGCAGTACTGAGTGTGCTTGAAATTGCCAGTAACAGAACAGAGTTGCCACTTAATTTACTTATAATGAAGTAAACAAATAATTACCTAATAATATTAAAAGCAACATAATTTCAACTTATTAATCAATAAGACACTTGCTATTTTTAGATTTAAATATTTTTACCCTCTCCTGGTTATAAATCAGCAAAAGTAACACATACATTTAATATCTGCCATAGTATGGTAACTATAAAATATCATACATCAAGTTATAAATTATGACTGATAAATTGCAACAGCTAGTTTCATACACACTAAACGAAAACATACCATATTATGATTTCATGCAATATGAACCTAGCCCATATGCCAATACCAATGGCAACTACTTAGATATACTATTGTATATAGTATAACAACTGATTTGTCAGCTTTCTATATATAATTTTAACTTTTTACAACTGTAACATTAATTTCTACCTACTGTAATATTAAAATTTAGTTCATACAAATAATGTAAGAATGCATAGACTAAATTATAATTCTAATAGCAAAATGTCATCATTTCATGACCAACAGATGAGGTCAACCTGTTCTCAAACTATATGTGCCAGTGAAGGGCAGCCAACCATTTAATTTTGATATATTCTTACAGATCCTGGTTTCCTAGATACACTGTACTGTGATGGAATACTGTATGGCTATTATGGCAGTCGTTTTAATAATATGTTCACCACATGCTTTCAAAATTCCACATGTGCCCTTGGACTAGGAAGGCTGTCTATTTCTGCACTAAACCCTGACTAGTGTCTTGTAAGTATAGAAAAAATACTTTTTCCAACTGTATATATAATTATGAACTGTCACTTAGGCATCCATAAGAGTATGGGATATTTTGCAGTAATTTAATAGACATGCTCTGTAAAATTTAAGTTGTTCCAGAAAGCTGACTGTAGACTTATTTAAAGTTTAAACACATGACCATTGTAATTTGCCCAGTAAGATGTACAACTCATTCTGAGTGTCATTATCATTTTTATCTTTATCTATGCTTAAATGTAAATATTTTTCCATATAATGGTAGCTGGATCAGTCTAAGTTTTTTCATGGTTTAATATGTCAAAAAAATAAATAAAATTGATAGCATGATCAACTAGCAAATCAGACAACCAAATGAAATGTATGTATATTTAATATACACATATACATTTAATTAAAAAAAACCCCACAAACATTGTAAGGAAAGAATACTATCTATAATATAAGTAACTTCATATATTTCAAAGAAGGATGGCATTTGGTATATTAAAGGTAACCTTTAAACAGTCCAAAGTCAGAGCTTTGATCCCCTACGAATAAATTTTTAGAATACCATACTGGCTGTGTTTGTTTCTTCTGACTTAGATTAAACCCTCTCAAGCTTGTCTCTATCTTTAGCCCTGTAATTTACAAGAGTCTTAGGTCCATAGGCATTAATGACTAGACAACTGCTGAGGGCCTGAACAAAGTCAGAATCTGACCTCAGTAAAGAATAACCTCAGACTTGGTTATTTAAAGCAAGTGAGGGAAAAGTTCCTGATCAGCCTGTTATAGTTTCTGACATCATACTTTTACAGATGCCTCTTATGGAAATATTCAGTTAAGACAGAAAAATATTATCCTATTGTATATAAAACAGCATTTTTTATACATAGATCACATATAAATGATGCCTTTCTCCATACATAGAGGAAACTTAAATTATCTCTATTTAAGACGAAATATAATATTAGATGTAGCAATTTACATTTTTCTACTTGAGAAAATGCTTAATATTTTAGATACAATCATTGAAATATACAAGTTTATGAGAACCCCACTGCATCTCTCTTTAAATAAACTGATGAAATAGCTACTTTGACAAAAAGCATTCACATACTGCATAGAGAATTTGACATGTGTTCCCTTGAAGCTGATCTGTCAGGAATGGAATATTTATTTATTTATCATACTCTGACAAGCCAACCTCAGTTTTACTCCATTCTATACTTCACACTGTTCACATGGGTTGAATGGAGAGATAAAATTCCCAATGTGACAGTAACAAGTCTCAGTTATTTAGACTTTTTTAAGTCTGAAAGCCATATCATATCCAAAAGGCACTTCTCATCCTCTCTTCCTTCTGCTATTTTTTCCACTTTATCAAAATCATGATCCAGAATAGTTAAAAAGAGAAGATTTTGATCCTGATTTGTTTGGCTCACTCACAAATGACAGTTCCACATTTCAGTAACAGTTTGGAATGTATTTTCTTTCAAACCTGAGTACCTGCTTGAGTAGAAAGGTGGGTATAAATTGAATAACTAAACCTGGTGCCTTTAAGATGTATTTGGATTGTAATCCCCATCACTCCCAGTCAGCAATCAACCATGTTACAGGTTAGTGAGAATTTCTTTACTTTCTACCAAATGTCACCATTGGGGACCACAGCAACTATTGGAGTACTTATTTGGCTCCATAATCAGGAGGGGGCAACCTTGCTCATATTCAGAGACTTCTCAAGATGAAGAACACTATGTTTGGCTGTTCCAGTACCAACACAACAATGTTGAGAGAACTAAGGACAGTAAGGAAAACCGAGGAAAAGTTGTGTACAAACGGGACTTAGGTTGCCTAAATTCTTGAAGGAAAGCTCTCATTCGGCGGAAGCTACCCAAGGAATTGGGTCGGGGCTCAGAGGGCACAACCTTGACAGCGGGCTATGGCAAGCATGTCACGGGCAGATGTTGCTCCTCTCCCCGGATAAGGAGACTCTGATAAGGCTTCTCTCGCTCTTTCCACCCCGTTCCTCACCATCTTCTCTTATTCCTCCGTCCAGGTCTCTCGCCTTTGCTGCACCTCGTGTGGAAACTCGCACCACTTAGAGGACGCCATTAGCACCCACGAGAGTTTCAGGAGCCAAACCCAGCACACCTCCGGCAGAAAAAGTACGCGGAGAAGAGGGCGCCCTCCCCACCAGCCGTGTCTCTCCCGCTGCCCGCCTCACCTGCCGAGCTCGCGTCCGGGGCTGAGGGTGTAGCAGGCGTGGAAGGGCTCCGTGAGAAGGGGCGTCTGAATCTCCGTCAGGAGTCCTCCGCGCCTCTGCTGATGAGGCGCTTGGCCACTCCGGGAGGAAGACGACGGCGGCGCCGGCGGCGGCTTTTCGTCGGGACTCATAGCCAACGGCCGAGAACGCGACGGCAGCGCCCTCGGCTTCTTTACTCCTTTCCTCCCCTCCGCTGCCAAGTCAAAGCACCCGCCTCGCCCCGCGTTTCACTTAGTAATTCGAACCAACAGCGAGGGGCAGAAGACAGCCGCTCCGAGAACGGCGGCAGCAGCAGAGCAGAGAGCCGCGAGCAAAAGCCACGCCCTCCCGTGGGCCCTCCCTCTACATGCTGGTACCGTCACCGCCCAACCGTCTTACCTGCGGGGAAGAAAAGGGAGGGGGGGACGTGTCGCGAGTCGAAGCTGGCGCGAGGCCTTGCGGGGAGCCGGAACCGCTCCGACTCGACGGGCGGGCGGCGCCATCTGGCGATGTAACGCTAACAAATTCAGCGTCCGCCGCGGGCGCCAGCCCTGTGCAAAATAGGCAGGTCTTCCGCGTGGAAGACTGAACTACTGCACACGCACGTTTGCAAAAACCCAACTCATCTTCAAATGGGGAGGAACTCTCGGAGGAAATGATCCAAAATCCAGCTCTTGAAAATTGAGCATGCCCCTAAGAGAATGCCACTGGAAATAAAGGGAATAGATCACGACGAAAGGGGACTGCGGCATTTTCTTGCAAGTTCGGTTTGTAACATGCCATTTGTAATGGCAGATATAAACTTAAAAAAAAGTAGTTATATACAACTAGTGTGGTAGTTAGAGGGCTGGATATCGGCCATCAGGCAGAATTTAGTGCATTTGCACTATATAAGCAACTATACTCAGTGTTAGTAAAAAGTAAGGAATTGGTAACTAAGTGGATATGTCCAAGTAGACTTCTTGACAGCATATAGAAATGATTTGCCTCTTCCAAGATTTTTTTTTTTTTAAGTTCCCAGCTAGCCCGCAACCCTGTCATCTCCTGGTGGTATCCCAACCATTTATTCATCAAATCTGACCTGCTTAGCTTTTTTTTTGGATCAGCCAAGGTAGCTAAGTGCAGTCACCTGTTGAGGCATGCTTAGCATTAAACTATGGGTTAAAGATTTAACCATGGGTGCTGAATCACAAGAAATTGCTACTGTCCAAACATCTTTATCGTCTCCCTGACTAGCTCTGTTTTCTGTTACAAGGAGCTCTGCTTTCTGTTACTTTTACAAGGAGACAAAAAGGCAATTCAGATTCAGTACCCCTTCAGTAGGGTGGAGAAAAGTTGATCCTATTTCCCTGTTGTGGTTTTCTTCTCCTTCTCTTTATGTATCTCTAGAAAATTCTTCCTGCAGTGCACCAGGGGTGTACTGTTAAAACCAACATAGTGGAATGGCTCTACTTCATAATTGCTCCTGTAAACCACTTAATTTCCTTGGAAGGTCAATAGCTGCTCAGTCATGAATTCTCCATTAATCCTAATTTGCAAGATATACAGAGCTGTGGCCAGACTAGATAACTCATAATCTCAGTGTTGGATGAAGGTACTGTATAGCATGTTATGTTTAGTCAGTGGCCTTTAAGAAGTAGCTTAATCCCATCTCAAAGAACGTCTGTTGTGAAAAGAGAATGTGCTACATTGCATATGATGACAGATTGCATCATAAGAAGTTAGTTATGTTTCATAAGGTTTATGGCACAGTGGACAGGAGCAGCGCGAGACTGTATGGCTCAGCTATAAAAGAGGATACTGTATAGCTGTTCTAGCTCTGGACCCTCCAGAGTCCAAATACTGTATTTTGAACTAGCTAAAGATAAGATCTCCTTTGACTGTTTGTGACTATAGGAATACATCCTTTAGTTTTCTTGGCAAGCGTAGAGAAGTGATTTGTGTCTTTTTCCAGGGTACTTGTTTGATTAACCACCCAGTTTAGCCCACAGTCCTCATATTTCCTGATCGTTTATACCTAACTATTAACATGATTCAACCTTGCCTAACTTTTGAGGTCCACCAAGGTTTGGCTAAGTGCTGCCATCCTAGCTAGGCTATATTTTGGACTACATGCCCCACAATTTTTTTATTATTGGTCATGCCTGCTGTGGCTGATGGAAGTTGATTGTCGGTCCCTGAGTTAGGCTACATTTTTACGTTCTGTATGCTTTTGACCTCTACTCAGCTTAACCATTTGGTGCTAAGTCATGCGGGTGTCACAGAGAGGCATTTCTTTCACACAGTGAATTTTCCTTTTGTGGCACAGTTGCTATTTTTTAGAGGAACTGCTTGATGCCAGAGGACAAATACACAATTTTCCATTGTGTTGGTGGCATAGTGTTTTGACTGGTAGACAAAGCAGAGAGATGACTGTATTATTTTAAAATCTATGGGTAGAGCGCAATTTTTTCTTCTTTGCAAAGCTGTCCAGTAGCACGTTCCCTGTCCAGTTGCTGTAATAATTCTTACCCTTTCTTCACTCCAGAGAATTGCCAGCATTTGGAGAAAGAAATTGTGCTAAATTATTCTGGTTAAGTATCAGGGATTTAAGATCAACAATATCTGCAAGGGTTGTATAACTTACCATCTATGTTCTGTTCCTTACATCACTTGGTCACTTAATACCATGCTTTGTGAATCAGAATACCCACTGCAATCTTAAATGCATATGTTTGGGATGGCCCTTAATATATATTTGAAATGACAGTATGTGGCAGAACTCAAGTATTAATTATCTGCAAAGCTTCCTGTATTCAAGAATTCAATTTTGAAAAAACACTGAATACCTGAAAAACTTTTGTACATTACTTTGAGATCAATGATGGGAGAAGGATTTCCCTCCCTAAAACTCACCCAAACATTAGGGGATCCCTCCCTGGGCAGAAAATTGGCACACTAAAAGCTGACTGAAGCTATGTAGGTATGATTCAGATTCTGGACAGGTAGTTTTGAGCTAGAAAATTGAGGAAGCTTTGACCTGCATGTTCATGTTCTCCTATTGGACTTTGTGTCATGATTTTCAACTGTATGTCTCATTAAGGCTATTCTAATTAATTGATACTGGCAGTTCATTTCATATACTTGTCTGTACATTTTATCTCTCTGATATACAGGGACACATCTCATTCTTTGCTGTAGCTTTGATATTTCCCTGAATACATTACAGTAATATGAATCCTATGTCTAATTGTGATATGGCCATGCACATTAGATTCTTTTTTTAAAAAATCACTATAGGCCTGACCTAATTAATCCTTTCCTCTTTTGCCCCTTACTGAAGCCCTACCAAAATATTACTTATTATTCATAAAATATGCTGTATATGCTGTCTCTTTAAATTAAAGAGGTATATTCTATTAGCTGTACCTACAGCATATACTTAATAGGAGAAAATGCTGTACATATCATCAAGCAGTATACGTAAGATAAGAAAAATTTGGAGGGCATAGAATAGGTTTCAGAGAATAAACCACAGAAAAGAAATTTATAACCACACCACTTGATGCCATAACAAAGAGATTTTATTGACATTCTTTTACAGTGATATGATTGAATAGAAAGCACAGCCTGAGTATTGTGACATTTTCCTGTCAATAGAAGCAAAATCAGCCCACTAAGGAGGACCTTTCCTGCCACTGGCTTTTATGAAGTCTTTACTGAAACCATAATAGACTTTTGGTTTGAGATAAAACGGAAGCTGCAGGGGATTTAGCAAATACTTCAGTACTGACACTATCTGCTATCTACCTCTGTTGTCTAAATTGAATAAACAATGACATACTATGGGGGAAAGGAACAATATAACTTTTTGGACCTTGGAAAAACTATCCCAGATTTGTGGCATGTTGCACTCAATTTTTAATCACTGAGTACTGCAAAAAGGGTAACTGTAAAAAGCACCATCTTTATAATGTAAAGGCTTAGTAGCACACGTTAGACTAAACGAGATGGGTCTTTGCTGGGAAGTTAATGACAGTAGTCCATGGACTGCAATAGGATTTGCTTCAGAACAGATAAATTAAACACACTTTGTTTGGTGAAGTGGGACTACCTTCTAACAATAATGAATATGGAAAAAAACCTCATTGATTTCAATAGAATTTATTGTCAAATTATTGTACTTAAGACCATAGATTTATGTGTGGGGGTGTGTGATCTTAACACATTTGCTTAGAAACATTGACTTTAATATTTTCAGGAGTAAATAGTTTCACTTTGAACTGATGCCATATTGTGTGTGTGTGATGAAACCTCCAGAAAAAACTCCATATTTAATTCCCGTGTGTCATAGTTCCTTAGCACTTAACTCATGTGAGCCATCCAGTTTCCTACCACTGAAGTCCTGCAGAAGCCGTTACTGTGTGGTTCAACATTTGGTGAATCCACTTTTGTGGCTCAAAATACCATCTCAAAAGTGCCCAAGAAACAAAGTCTCAATAATATGAAATCATGGCTAAAATGAATATAGCTTGGGTGTATAAACTGTGCATGGCAAATAAGAATTATAGCGGACTGAAAACAATCTTTTCAATTCCATTAAAATCAAGTAGAAATTCTAATGTTTTGAAATTTGAAAAGGCTTTGATCAAATATGTTGAGTGATGTCCTGACAAGTTATGTATTTTTCCTGGTGTGTCACTCATTTCCATGTACTTCAGGTCATGTGGAATCTACTCCCTCATTTCCGGACCAATTTATAGGACAACAACTGGGCTGGAAAGATCAGTTAAATTGGCTTCAGTTTCAGATTGGGCCAAAATTAGTGTTCTCTAAAATAAAAGTGTTATCTTCCACAAAAAAGTACTGTCTCAAGGCGGCACTCTTCTTTTACTTCTCATATTTTAAAAATGTTATTTTTTCTCAAGTTTAGTTCTAAGGCATTAGCTTCTATGCTTTATCTTCTTATGTATCATTGATGACCTGTACAATAGGTAACAAGACAGTTTAATATGGAATCACACTCCCCAAAAATAATAAATTGGTGAAATAAGTAATTTATAACACTGCAATGGTAGGAAAAGGATGAAAAAATTGTTTTGTTCAGGTGGCATGAGGAGTAAATGGTATGAGATATTTCCAACATTTCTTTTGCCTGACAACACTAGTAATACTCAGAGGGCCAAATCTGCAACTTTTATTTCAGTTCCTAGAACATGGCTGGCATCTGAACCAAACTCTTTAGTGGGAATTTACTACTATATCTCTCTTCAGATGCCTTCACAGCATATACAAATCTTTTACCATACTACAAAAAATACTTTCAATTTTTAATAAAATATAGCTCTTGAAGATATTAAAATTTTTAACTATACAGTATTATAAAGCATGGAATTTGCTTTTTAGAGATAGCTCTTGAATAGTGTTAAATTTGGCCCACCTGGAACTAACCAGTTAGATACTTGTGCCTTGGCTAGTTGACTTGTGTTTATTTTTTTTCAGAAGACACCCTGTTTTAAATACCATAAATATGCTTGTGTAGCAATGCTGGACTCAATCTTGCACACCAAAAATCATCCTTTAGATGTAGTAATTTCAGTAGGATTTTGTGCACAGAAAAGTGCAACTAATGTAATTGATTTAGTCCAATCTTGGGGGAATTCCATTGAGGGACCTATTGTGTGACTTACAAACAGTCATACTGGGCTTCCTGTTTGTTCAATGAATTTGCAAAGAAGTTCCCTTGAATCAGAGACAGTGTGCCAGATATATTTTGTAGTATGCTTGAAAGTCTTCAGTGTATTCTTTCTGCAACAGCTATAAACATACTATATGATATGTGGTTGAAAAAAAGTCTTAATAAATACAAGTGGTATCAACAGTTTTTTCCAATTGATGATAATTGTTTTCACAAAATATGATAATACTGTCTAAATTGCTAGAGTGATTTCTTTAATTTTAAGCTAAAATTACTTTGGGGGAATAAGTTCACTGAACCTGCTCATTTGAAGTATTTCCTTAAAAATTACATTGCATTTACTCATTTTTACAGAATAATATATAGCACAACACTGAAGACTAAACAGATCTTTAAAGACACTTTTCTTTTGGAGCAGAAAGTTCTTTTTCAGGAAAAAAAGATTAAGGAGTTTTTTTTAGCCTTAATAAAAGGCATTCACATAAGCCACCTGTATCCATGCTTCATATGCCTGTTTGAAACTGTATTGTCAGGTCCCATGTGGCATTGCAAATGACTTTTTTGTGCTGTATTTTTCTTTTTGTGAAATATGTACAAAATATACCTCAAATTAAGATTTGCTAAGAACAAAATCATGACCTAATTAAAGCATGATCCTGCCACAATAAGCATGTTTATGTTTCCCTAGTTTTAAAGGGACAATGCTGAACATGTGGTTAAAATCTTTATTACTTAAACATGGAATGAACATTCTAAATTTTGGCTGGATTGTGCTAATCCATTTTTACATTTTCCCCTTATCTGAATCAGGGACCAACTTGTTTTCTAGTTGCAAATTTGCTTTTCTAAATAAAATAGTTTTCCTCACATGATCATTATGTGAGGAGACACCATAGCTATATTCATTGGTATTCCTTTGGGATCTTCACTAGTTCCTTGATCTTAGGAAGGAGCAAACTTTGCTCACAAGCTCCATCTTGTTTCATTATCCTTGCCTTTCATATCTTCTTCTCAAGAGTAAGCTTTAGATAATTTCCATTCTTTTAAGAAAAAACTGAGAATCAAGATCAGCTTGTGATCATACCTGATGTTCAGTTTCCAGGGCAAAATCACAATTGTATAACTTTTTGTTCAGATATAGCATTTTATTGGCCATTGTTGATGATGATAATGATGATGATAATGATGATATTTAAATTTATTATAGCTGCCCACTCCCATAGACTCTGGGCGGCTTTCTTTCTGTGATAATTTCATCACAAACACAATCATTTGTGTCTTACTGAATTTTTAAAAATATGCACTGTAGAAATGTGAACTACTTTTAGTAAAGACAAAACAGTCTATACCCATCCTTACTTGGAAATAAAACTCATTCAGTGAATTTCATCCCCAATGTATGCTTCAATTTATTCTCAGATTATGTTTAGAAAATCTGTGCAGCAGCAGTAAACAAAAAGAGAAATATTATTTTAAATCTGATTTTCCCCCCCAGTTACTTTGGTGATAGAAAATGAAGCCCACAATCTTTAACCATCTGTTGTTTCACCTGGGTACAGGGGAGTTTAGACTCTTCAATATACCCAAAAACCTGCTACATTGACCACTGGAGCTTTATCAGGGAGTTCAGTTGTTTAGGTAATAGATTATTCTCTTATTCAAATTATTTCAACTCCATCATCCTCTGCAGCTTCATATATAGTTAGGCTAAATCATTTTATACAGAACTAATTCTGTGATATTTGAGATCAAAGAGAAATGAAACAAAGCCACTCATTATAGTTTCAATAATGGCTTCCAATACATAGTGCAGGATTGTCTATATTTCTTTTCTGTTAGGAAACAGAACATCAAAAAACAAAGAATTGGTAAGCAAAATGAGAAGATACAAAGAAACATAATATTCATCCTGTTATTTTTTGTTATGTACAATAATTAAAGTGGTGCTGTCTGTTACGCTAGATAATAAGACATCTTTCTTGAGTCCCCCAAATATGAGTCCCCCAATAAGCATTAACTCTTGTTTATACCTCAATAGATCAGCATTTCAATTCTAGCATTTAACAGCTATTAATAATCATTGACATATTCTGCATTGCACTGCAGGTTAGTTTTGTTCCTTTGAATAACTTATCTGCACCACATGTCAGGCCTAGTTCCAACTGATGTAGCTCATTTGAATTATGAATTCACATTAAAAAATTCAGTTTTGCTCATAAGTGTTTTTCACCTTTGTATGATATGTACAAAAAAATCAAGGATAAATGAGTGAGGCTCTTGACCAACTTCCAATGATGAAGACTCAATACCATTAAGATGCAACCTACAATTAAGATGCAAAGGATGAACATATAGCTTGGAATGCTTGATGAATGTTCTTTTTTAATTAACATATGGAAGTAAACATTTATTAACATTTGGTCAAGTGTAGCATAACTTGCATTCGTATTTTCATTGTTACTAATGGAGGTATGTGTAGATACACAGAGACCTTGTTTTCATATTGCATACAGGGTAGTTGTCCATTGGGAATTAAAGATGAAAAGCATGAAGGTTAGTTCTTAAAGGAAGGCTGTTCTTCATGCACAGCTTTTATTTCTCCTGTCTTTTCCACCAGAAATAAAAATACTGAAAATCCAATTCATATGGCAGCAGAAGGGAATGATGTCGTTGACAAGGAAACAATTGAAAAACCTGTTTTTTCTTATTCAAGTCCAAAGGTACTAGTTTCTTCAACAGCTGTCAATAGCTTTTCATACAGCATAGAGTATGATGGGTAGGGTGGAAGGTCCAGGCGATTGAAACAGGTATGGGCCCTGCAAAATGAAAATAATATGGTACCTTTAAAAATAGCATCTTTGTCAGAAATATTCAACCATTTGCATTATTGAGCCAATTAAACCTGTAAATAGAGCTGAAACCACATATTTGGGAAGAAGGTTGTGTTTGTCATTACTGTGTAAATTAGCAATGGGAAGAAAAGGATATTTCCGTAGTCAGAATCCTATGCACAATTTTCTCTCTCCAGGTTTTCCCTTAGTCACAATATTCCATTTGAACTGTAAACACATTCCTACAACCAGCAGGAAGAACTGGAAAGGAAAAATGTCAACATAGGGTAAGAATTAGGCACTTTCCTTTTAAGTTGTAATCATAGTGGTTATCAGAAAGTTGATGGATCTGCATTTGCAGTTTCTGAGTCCAGAACTACACTATAATGTAGTTCTGGACTCAGTTATCTCTTAATTCAAATATTCAGAAGGTATTGTTACTCTACTTCTCCAAATGACAAGATGTATGAAATGTGAAATGGCCTCTTTGGTGACTGTTGCCATTTTGTATAATTCATTATGAGCCAAAGGCCATCTAAACTAACTCTTGATTTTCAGTGCAATACAAAAGATTTGGATGTTTTCCTTTGACTGTTCATTTTTATTTAATTAGTTGATCTACTAATTGGTTTTCAATCTTCTAACTGATGGATTTTCAAGTGCATATATTGTATGTTTTAAATATGGTTTTAAAGGTTGATACATTTTTGTTTAATTATCTTATTAACTTCCTTAGTACTTGTTACATTAAAAAAATATTTTAAATAAACAAAAAAAAATCCAAGCTCATTCCAGTTATAATTCTCTTTGGATATGAAAGCACTAGGGAGTTTTTTATTTACAAATATACAACTTGAATGGAGCATAAGGATAGGCAAACAGGCACCCTTAAAAGGTAGCTGTTCCAGAAATCTGCTTAAATACCCAAAGAGAAATCCTTCACTCCAAGGTTTATCCCTTCTTAGACACCTCATAAATCCCTTTCTTCCTTTTTGCCTCTAGAGGTTAAAACAGTTAATACCCAACTTCTTTCTAATGGAGACGCTGTCCCAGAAGTCAACAGCAGAGGGATATAATTTCTTACTACTGACATTTGTAAGGATATACCTCCTCCCTTCACTCTCCTCCTTTTAATATGTGCCACATTAGATAGCTAGATAGAAAAATAGACAGACAGACAGATTTATACCACCTTTTGTCCAGGAACACTTTTTTCTATGGGAGATTCGGTTGGGAGTGAGTGACTGGCCCAAAGCAGTAAGAGTAAGCTTTTATGATTGAGGGTGGACTTGGACCTGGATTTCCCAGGTTCTAGTCCAACAACTTAACCCCTACAGTACACTGGTCTGCAGAATTTGGGAGGCCCATAGGCTTATTTTCCATTTGAGACAAGCATCAAAAATATATGTGGTCTCTGGGCTCAGGAAACTGCACTGGTATATTCAGGTAAAACCTAGACATGAAGCCATAAAAAGTAAGACAGCAAACCTACAAGAAGTTTCAGTTCAGGTATCAGAAAATAAATGGATGCTTCTATTGTTCAGCAACAAATGTAGGAAAGAGTCCCACATTTAGAAGATGAACATAATTTGGCAAACATTTTGAAAATAGCATAGGTCATATATTTTTGTTAGGGGACCAATGAAAGATGAGCAGACAGCAGCATTATCTTTTTATTTCTTGATGACCAAATGCATGAAGCTCTTTTTAAAAATTCTGGAAGATTAATTACAGTGTATTTTTTCAAAGAATTCTATGTTATTTGTAAAGTGGCAGATTGTAGCTGAATTTTAATTAAATCAAATCAATTTATTACGGCCATAAGGCCAGATACAGTAAAATATATAATAATAGAACTGTTACATACTTCCATATATAGTTTTTTAAAAATTCCTAGAGTTTTTCCCACAGGTGGAGGATCTGCTTTTTCTTTGGATCAGCCAAATGTTGATCCATTGGTTGCAACAGATATTGGCCGATTGGCTTGTCACCTGAGCCTGATGTCATGGGCTGAGAGAGAGTAACTGGCCCAAAGGCGGAACTTACAATCTCCTGGTTTCTAGCCTGGAGCCTTAACCACTAGACCAAACTTGCTCTCTTATACATCTATATACAGTATATAACAGAAAAATACTGAGTATAATAGGATCTAAAAATAAATAAGAATATATATAATGAAATAAAAATACAGGTAGTCTTCGCCTAATGACCCTAATTGGTTGTTAGGCAAAACATCAGGTGACTGCACTGCTTAGTGACAGAAGTTCCAGTATTCCTGGTTGTGGCCGTTAGGTGAGAATCGCGCCATTGTTAAGCAAGGACTTCACGCTTCTCTGCCCTGTTGTGTTTGCTATCGCTTCACCTCCCCCACCTGCCTGTTTTCCCCCATCCCTGCCCTTTTGAATGCCCTGTACTCTGCTGCTGCTGCCTATCTCTGCTGCCCCCCAACAGCCCCAGCTGACCTTTGCCATTTTCTTTCACTGTTGATGAGGTGCACCCAGCTGAGGCAGCTGCTGGCTCTTCGCAAGGCCTTTGTGCGGCATTGCTGAGGCCTAGCGAGGCCTTTGCTTGGCCACTCAAGGCCTTCATGTGGCCTCACAAGGCCTCTGCTATGAGGCCTCTGGCTGACCTTCACTGTCTTCTTCCACTGCTGACAAGGCACACATGCCAAGGGGCGGCAGGGGTGAGTGGTGGCCGTGGAGTGCAGGTCAGCCAAAAGGGCAGAGATGAGGGGAGACAGACAGGTGGGAGAGCTGGAGTACACAGTGTGGTTGTAATGTGGGCTGGCTGCCAAGGGCCCAATTTTTGATCGTGTGACTGCAGGGTCACTGCAATGGCCATAACTTTGAGGACCAGCCGTAACTACCATTTATTCAGCATCGGAACTTCGAATGGTCGTTGAATGAATGGTTGTTAAGTGAGGACTACCTGTAGTATTATAAGAAGTGATGATTAAATGAGTATCCAAACTATATTAATAGTCTGGTGAGTTGTACAGATAGTAGCACAAAATTAGGCAACTTGAGAGGATATTTTTGAGTCCTTGTCTGAAAGAAGTAAGTAGAAATCGTACTCCCTGCCTGGAAATTTTTTCAAGAACTGATAAATGAAGATCTGTCTAGAGTCTTTATATAGAGAGCAACATAGTAGCTTATGGCTTAGAGTTTCTATTGAGGCATCCCATTGACATAACCAGAGAGACATAGGAGTACTATTAAAATGTCCAAAAAGGACTGCTGAGAGCAATGCATCCAGCCTGGCTAAAGTGAAAAACCTTACGAAATTTCAAAATTATGATGGATGACAAATAAGAGGCTAGGGCAAACCCTTTCAGAAGAATATGATAAATAATGGGTACAACACCTTGCTTAAATTTGGAGACCTATATCCGAAATTCATCGTTTGAGGGCAGTTCTAGCATTGTCAAAACCTAATGAGCATAGACTTTCTACAAAGAAGCCCAGTAAATAAATTTTATCTAGGGCTTTTTAAAGCCGTAATGATTTAAAATGACGTCTAAGTACTAATGGGGCCAAACCTATAGTAAGTAGGATTAACTTTAGCCAAAAGCTAATAAGAAGAAACCATGTTCTAGCATGCAGTGAGTCTATACCTGTCTCTACACATAAGATAGCATTTTTGATACTTTTTGGAACCATCAGTATGGCCGCCTAGAGTCATTTGGATAAAAGGAGATGGGCGGCCAATGAATTGAGTAAATAAATAAATAAATAAATAAATAAATGTTAAGCTTTGCAAAAGAGCAAATTTGGGAGCCATAAAGAAGCTGATGGACTGCCTTAGTTTGGAAAACCTTGCAAGCTGCAGGGCTATATAGGTAGTCCTCAAGTTACAACAGCAATTGGGACCAGAATTTCTGTCACTAAATGATGTCATGAAGCATGACATCACGTGACCGTGTCACCCAATGACACCAATTCCAGAAGTCCTGATTGCTGTTGTTAAGTGAGGACCACATGGATCATTAAGCGTGGACCTCATGTGATCACCACTTCCAGTTTCCTGCCGGCTTCCCCATTGTCTTTGCTTGTGGGAAGCCAGCAGAGAATGTCAGAAATCACAATTATGTGACTGCGAGGACACTGCAATGGCCAGAACTCCAAGGACCGGTCATAAGTACCATTCATTCAGCACCATCATAACTTTGAAAGGTTGCTAAATGAATGGACGTAACCTGAGGACTACCTGTAATGGCCTCCTTTAAGTGGCAAAATCTTACAATAGCTGTGAAGGTACACTTTGCAACACTCACCCAGTTAAAAAAAAATAGCATTCCAGAATAGAGAAGCATGGAACTGCACTCCAAGATATTTCTAGATGTGTACCTGCTCAGTTAGAATCCCATTTAATTGCCATTTGTCAATTTTATGACTTTCTATAAGTTGAGACTGCTTTAGATAGATGTCCCCAAAGGGTACATCCAATTATCAGGGAGGTATTTGAGTAAAGTGACTGACTAAGTAGGAGCAGCCTTTTATCAATACTGGAATGTCTCAGACTGTTCCACAGTCTCTCCCTTGGTATTACGTCAAAAACTTTGAGGGGGCGCAGAATATTCTGCCAGATGATAGAGAACCAAAAAATGATCTAATGCTGATTATTCTCTAAATCCAGCCTGTTCTTCAGCAATAATATTTTCATTTTGTACCCAATTCACTTAATTTAAATATAAAAATTTGGCTTAGAGTTTACTTACTGTGTTTAATGAACTAATATGCCTATAATTTGTAGGATCAAGTCAATTTCCTTTATTTTTGTATAATGGTAAAACAATAGCTTGATTACATTCAGATGGAAATTGGCCTGTGTTGTTAATATGGGGGAATAGAGTGGCCAGAACTGGAGCCCACCAATCTTTGTTTTCCCTTATTAATTCTGGGGGAATGAAATCATCTCCAGATGTTTTACCTGGTTTTAATTGGGCAATAAGATCTTTAACCTCAACTATAGACACAAATGGCCAATCTGGGAGGTCACTACAAGAAGGAATCTCATCTGAGATTACAGCAGGTTCCCTTTTAAAGATGTTACAGAAATGATCCTCCCATTTATCTGCAGATATTTGTGGGATAGGGCCAAAATGTTGATCTACTGTATAAGGGATTGATTGATTAAGTGCCAAAACCAAGTGGAGTTCTTTTTTGCTGCTGAAATTAAATTCCTCCAATTCTCTCTTACAGACTGCCTTTTCTTTATCTTCAAAAGGTCTTTATAATTTTTTTTCTGAACCTTAAGTAATGAGAAGCACTCAAAGAATTCTCCTGACAAAAGGAATTTATTGCATTTAAGAGAGCCTTTTTAGCCTTGCTGCGATCATTATAATAACAAGGTTTAGACCTTTTTATGTGCATAAACAGCACTGGCTGTTGAAAATCTTGTCAGGGAGACTTGGAGATTAACAATAATTGACTGAAACAGTGACACTACTTATTCATAGGAATCAGCTGAGCAGATTTGGGCGTGCATTTGAAGCAGGGGGTCTGAGGTTAAGAGCCAGAAAAAACTTTAGCCAGACCTTGAGACCATTTGTTCTGTACTTGCCTCTTTGTTGAAATGTCAATAGGGCAAGGGGCTACTTCTAATGATTCAAGATTTGTTTTAGAATAAAAAGACAAATTAGTGGAAAGTGGTCACTATCAGTGCAAGTTCCAATATAGAAGTAAGCTATAAAGTGAACAAACCTCTGGGAAATCATGATATAAACAACCACACTGGCCCCATTAGGGCGCCAGAATGTAAACTCTCTTTTTATATCACCCCTGACAGTGCCATTAAGTATATCTAGATCTAAATTGTCAACAAGTTGAGCCAAACGAAATCCTGCAATGTGTTGGTCTTTAGATTGGCTGCTAAGTAGCCCACATTGGTTTTAGGGGGCATTGGTCACTTAAAATAAGCTTCCAAAAGGACATCGGACTAGCCAATATTTGCATTAAAGTTACTGGCAATAATAATAATAATAGAATCTAGGTACTGATATAATAACAAATTTATGTAACTCTAGCTGAGTATTAATAATTTACATCTCGAGTTTCTAGAAATGCAAGTATCAGGCTAACACAAGATTGTAAAATATGACGTTCTAATTTTGAGTGACAAAAGCTACATGTATCTTTTACAAACAATTGCAATGCTGTTTTAGGACCAGGATTACTTTTAGGCAAATTGAAATGGTATGACTTTGGGAAATAAAAGAGCAGCACTTTATTAATTAGTTTCCTTTTTTTTTTAACCAGCATAGTGATAGTATTTGAATTCTCTGCCACAGGAACCTCCTTCCTCTGCTGTTTTTCTAGTTATTTTGGATCTTTCCTAACAACGCATAATGTGATATTCTATTTTTGTCTCTGTGTGCCAAACAGTCCATACAAATGCCAAAAGAAAGGATGGCAAAGCAAAAGACCATGTAGGAAAGGAAAAGTTGCTTGAGTTGACCAGGATTTCGCAATATTTAATTATTGCTTATCCACCATATTCAAAGTGGTAGAATATGCACCCCAAATGACTTTTTCTCCTGGATCACTTTTGATCTGACTGCTTCTATCATTTTCAGCCTGTCCTTTCTATAATACAAAAGAATGAGGATGTCTTTTTAAAGCAGCCTTTAGTATGATAAATTATCATGAAATGCTGTCAGGCAGCCTTAGTGGTCATGTTTTCAGTGATAAAAATATCAATCCTGTATACATGGATTAAGTGTATACATTAATTCATACCCAGACATGAATGATGGAGCATCATTTCAAGATGAAGCATACCTGGGGAGTGATGTTATTTTACCCCATTTCTCTATACAGAAGCGCCGTAGCCCATTGCTCCCTCGAAGGGCCGCAAAGCCTTCATAAGGGACGCTAGATGTTCCAGTAACAAACTGCAGCAACCGTAGTCTTTGCTCATTGTTGAACCTCTCTACTGCTGCCCAGAACCATCGTATTACTATGTGGCCATCATGGTAACCTAAAAGAGAAGGTGGGCAAAAGACAAACACATTAGAACCATGGAAAGAAGACACAATTGGATATGAAGATGAACCAAGCATTATATTTTGCTTTATCTAGCCAGTGTATGATTTTCAGGATTCTTTATCATTAAGAAACAGGTGGCTGATATTTTCAGCTAAAGAAACTACACAGAAGTTCAGGTTCACATATATCCATTTATATGCATGTACATGTCATAAAAAACTCATCTGTGTTTCTTCCTCATTCCCTTCTTTTCTAGTCAACTTGAGCATAGTCAGTGAGTCAAAAAGGAAACCTGTAAGATTTTTTCCTTCTTCCTCACTACAGATAGCTTAATTTCAATTATTTGTTTCTAGCTGGTTAGATTGTAACACTGTCATGTCCACAGCTGTTCTGTGGAAAAAACTGCAATGGTCCCTACAATTCCACTTTCTATAGCTGACTGCAAGTGGCCTCAAGACTGCAGAGAGCCTACCCATGCATTAAGGTAACATTTTCCTCATCAGTTGGTCTCCAAGGCACCCTATGTATCAGCAGAAGAATCCTTACACTTTATACAGGATTCTGAGATGACTCCTGGAATGCATACTTGTTTCATGTGAATATTTTCCAGGTCTCGTGATGTCTGGTATCATCTGCTGTTCTATTACTAATTTTCAAGGGATGATCAAGAATTCAGACAGTAAGTTCCCCTTCACTGGATGAGCTCAAGCAGAGCCATCTATCAAGGATGCTTTAATTTGGAATCCTGAACTGAGGTAGGGGGTTGACCTCAACAATCTAAATGGCATAGATCCAACTCTATGACTTTCTAAGGTCAAGCAATCATCCAAGAAAGGATGCTGCCAGTACTAATCTTATCAGTGAAAAACAATCCCTGATCAGCTTTCAACAAACCACAGGGTTTCCTGGAGTATAGCTGGAAAACTACTTTGTTAAATAAATGGACCTATAATATAGACACACAAATAATACAAGGAATTGACAAATTGCGTCAGAACTGCCAACACCCAGTGTTCTTCATTGAAGCATGGCTCTTGGAAAATTTGCTTTTCCCAATATATGTCTGCTCAATATATGTGCTTTTTCCACGTTAGCTTTAAGAAATTGCAGGTATATCTGAATCAAGTATATCTAATATGGAGGAAAAAAATCGGTACAGCTATCAGACATATAAACCAATCTGTAATCTATAAAGTGAATAATTTAACACATAAGACTATCTTAAAGACATGGACAGAATTTCCAGCAGTAAAAGGACTTAATGAAATGAAAAATGGTAAGGAAGAATAATTGCAATGTTTACCACCCCGATATTCTGTGTTATTGCGCCAATCGTTAAGGTCAATTTCAGCAGTGCCAGCGATAACCAATTCTAGCTCTCTAGCATCAAACACTGAGACAAGCCTTGAGTCTACGACCTGAAAAATAAAGTACACATGCTAGCAATAAATACAGAAATGTCAAAAGATCCAGAATTTTACACAAATTAAGTATATTTGTGGATATGAGAAAACTGGTTTCCAATTTTAGAGGTTTGAATGAAATTCTTCCCATGTAAGGAGGTTTCTTTTAACACGTTAACTTTGCTTGTATACTTTTGATCTGCAGGTTTTACCACGAATATTATCAGCTTGCCATTCTCTGCCATTGACACATCAACAATGATTACACTGATCAGTTACTGCTCAATAAAACGTATTAAGTTTTTTGACACAAAAATGCTGATCATTTTAAATATTATGTCAGTAAAAGAGAATAGTAGAAGTGAGAATAGAGAGCCAGTCTGCCATAGTGGTTAAGGCACCAGGCTAGAACCTAGGAGTTTGTGAGTTCTAGTTCCGCCTTAGGCACAAAGCCAGCTGGGTGACCTTGGGCCACTCACTCTGTTTCAGCCCTAGGAAGCAGGCAATGGCAAATAAATTATGAAAAACCTGGCCAAGAAAACTGCAGGGACTTATCCATGCAATTGCCAGGAACCAAAAAGTGACTTGAAGGCACGCGTGCACACACACACACACAGACACAAGAAAATAAAAGAGAATTGCAATAATCATCTGGACACTAATAAATTGTCAGGATCTTTTGACATGAAAGGGATGTTTAAATGAGAGAGATGTTTAAACAAGAACAGGGCAAGTAAGTTATGCTCAACTTCTCAAGCATAAAACCCAACTAACTCAAAATCTCATTCCCTAGTACCTGTAATTTAAATTCTACCATGCATATATATCCCCTCCAATACATTGGATACAAAAAGTTTGAGTAACGTATTTCTTCTTGTCAAATGCATTAGCATTTTTATAAATAATACAGAAGTATAGACACATATTTTAAGGTTCTCACAATTGTAATAGCAAAAATATTTAATGGCCAAGGACCACACAAAAGTCATGGCTGATGATATCACTATAGCACTGGAGCTAAATATTTACTCTGTTATGGGGGTGGGGGGGGTAGGTGGCAGTGTTTAAGGGATGAAATATCTGCATTAAGCTTTTTTAAAAATGGGAGAAAAAAACAGGAAACTGCACAACTAAATTTTTATGGCTTTAATTTCAGCTGGTGATCTTTTATTGCTCACAAAAATGGGGCTCAGAAGTTGTGCAAAATCCCAAACAGGTCATCAATAATCACATTTCAAGGATTTGGAGCCAGGGTGGAAGGGAAAGTATCACAGCAATGGCAGCTCCAGGATTTCTGTGAGAGTTTGTAGAGGGAGACCTGTCGTTTAGGCATATCATGCTTGTACACGTTTACATTTGTTCTCATTTAAAAAATGGAATTTGCACTTCTATATTTCAGTGGTTTGCTACCACAAGTTGGTAGCATAATTTTGGGAAGCTTTGGGGGCTGAAAAAAGTTTAGTAACTACAGTTGGTTCACCTTGTCATAAATACTCATTTATACCATTGTTCCCTATTAAGATTTGAAGAACGCTACTAGAGCAGTTAATTCTCTGCCCTTTTTGTACTGTATTTGCTGTAATTGAGATACTCTTATGTTTATGACTCTTCCACTCTCATGTGATAAATTATGATACGTACTTCGTAGAAGCCACGAACTAATGCCTCAGTTTGCTGAACAACCCCTCTTTCTACTCGCCACTTAACCATTCTTTCAATATACTCCTTCTTGTTCTTTTCAGTCACTTGTGTATTTCCACCTCCAGATTTCAACTCTCTTTCTGTTACCTAAGAAACAAATAAACAAAACATAAATATGGGACGGGAATATAGAAATTACCATGACAACAAGTACTTCAACTATCAAATATTGTTCAAAGAACAAAATGTCTTGATGTATGTATTGTTATGCTATGTGATTATTATGCATATTACACTTCTGAATAGATAGCATAACACTTTTTTCAAATGGTATTATTTTATCATGCTATCGAAATCCGGATTGGGCGTTTATTCTCTCCCTGACAATATTCAGGAACCAACTTAAAATGGAGCCCTTGTCTATGGCTTTTCCCTATTAGGTTTTTTGTTACTGTTTCACCTCTTAAATATTTTATTTTTAACATAGCATAGATGTTTTTAATGTGGTATTTGTTTGAGAGCGATCATGGATGTTTCATTGTTCCCTATTGTGGATGTTTATGTTTTTGCTGTAAACCGCCATGAGTCAATTTGTTGAAATTAGCAGTATACAAGTTGAACAAACCAATCCGTTAAACTGAGGACAAAGGCTGGGGAGGGAATGAGACCTTGATCAAGGCTTTGATGCAACCTTTCCCTCTCTCACAAGGGGGGAAGCTATGAAGCACGGCTGTATTCTCATTTACTTAAATACGACTACAGCTTTCAGCGCTTTATTCAGGTGCTAAATGCAGGGTGCTACCTAGTCTATTCAGGCTGGTTTATGAAAACTGACTTTTAAATTGTCACATACATTACAACTATGCCCAAACTGTTCATATTATAACAACCCACTCTTGGGCACGTGTGCGGCTAGTGAGTTTTAGACTGCAGTGATGGCTCTTAACTATTCCCTTCCTAATTGATATTGCCTTTAAAAACGCATTAGTTATTTGTGTCAGCGATATTAAAAAATGGGCGGGAGGGGGAGTTAAAAAAGGGGAAAAAATTCTCTAAGTCCTCATTGTTTCATTAACCACCCAAAAGGTAGTTCTCTGAATAAAGCAACCAGGACCAATGTTTCCAATGTTTTTATTTCCAAGAAATGCTATCTAGGTCAAATAGAGTTCTTTATATAGAAGATTTTTTTTAAATCAGTTCTAATATTTTTTATTAGTCTTAACATTTCAAAACTATTGCATTACTCATGATTTTAGTTTAATTTTAGTTAAATTGTACTATTTGGAACAGATTCCTGAGTTTCTAATATCCAGGTGATGAGAAATTTTAATCCTATCTGAAACTTTAGAAGTTCAGATACCTCCAGGCTTGAGAACTGCATTCTTATTGGTAGTGCTGTGACTTGCTATTTTTTAATCTTTGTTGAAAGAATACAGGGTTTTAAAAAGATGCTTATGTATATCGTGATTATTAACTACTTTGATATTTCTTCCTTTGAAAAACCAATAGAAAGAATGAATGTTGGAACCAGCTGTTAACAGTATTTAACTTTAGTTTGAGAATAAAATGAGATAATCTCTATATCATTCCTGGATTTTTGTAAAAGAGAGTACTTACATAATGATAAATGGTCCCTATCTAAATTCACAGACCTCACCTTGTTTGGCCGCTGCTATTTATATGGTGAGCTTCACCCAGTTCAGTTAACTCCTTTTTTACTTGTGATGGGCTCAACAAATCCTGGGATAAATAAATCCTGACATAAATAAATCCAAGAGGTGACTGTAAAGGTGGATAAATAATACTGAGATAATTTTTTTAAAAAACATTTGCTTAGTGTCTTTTCTTATTTTATAATACTTGCTATTTCTTGTCCTCCTATTCCTTTTGTAACTCATCACTAGTTAAGCATTTGTTCCTAGTCTGAATTTTTATGACTCCAGATTTCTAATTTATAATATACTCATATTAATTTACCTGTCCAAACACTTCCTCATTCACTGTGAAAGTGAGGTCCAGAATATCAGTGATGATGTTGTCCTTCATCCATTGTAAACTTTGATGGAATTCCTCATCCAGATACTCCAAGTCACTAAGGTCACATGGCCTGATTGACAATAGATCACAGATTATGTTCAATCCCCAAATGATAGCTTCTTAAATAATAGCCCCAGCTCAAAATTTAGGTGTCAACTGCTACCTGCCCTGATAACTAAACAGTGGCAGTAAAGTTCTGAATATTAATGGCTGAAGAATTCTACTGGCTTCATGGTTTTGTGTCACCTTCCCAGGGGGCATCTAGCTGGCCAGAAATAGAAATCGGATGTTAGATTTAAAGTGACTAGATCTAGATCTTCTTGATATTAGGGTGAGTTACAACTTCTTGGTTCATGCCTGGCATTGTTCTCTTCCAATCATGAAGTATTATTGTACTTTTTATTCATATAAAACTCTGCTATACAGATTTTCTTACAAAGCAGTATTCAAAATATTTCACTGCAACATATACAATAAAAGGATAATGAAAACAGTTTGATATATTGAAAATATGTGTTGTCAAAGTGGATTTTAGGGAAATAAATTCAGATGTATCCTAATAAACTCAGGGTTTTTTCCCTATACCCATAAAAAATCATCATGTATATTAATGCATTATACGTAAATATAATGTTTAACCAACATACTTTGGATAAGTGATCTTCTAGTTTAAAAAAGGGAGCCTCTCCTTTTCTATAGAAAAAAAAAGTTCTACTATAGGTATCTCTGTATTACCTGCAAACTTTTAAAATAGTTTTTATTTGTGATTCTTGAACAATAAAAGTTGAAAAGGCAAGACTTGCACAAATGACTAGTAAAATAAGCATCTTCTTCACTATGGCTTAATCCAGGGATGACTACAAAGATAGAAGACAATTGCAGCCGTACTCTTGTGTTCATGTAATATTTTATCTCTCTCACACTCATACATTGGCACAGATTAAATATCATCAGTATTCTGATGATACTCAGTGTATATCTCAACTCTGGGTTCTCCAAGGGATGTTGCTGAGATTCTATCTTGGTGTCTGGGAGCTCACATAAGACCAAGTGGCTGTGAAAATGGGGATTAGAAAGCTTTCTATCTTTGGTTCTTGATGGGGTTAAACTGTCCAACTGGTCCAGAATACAGTGGCATAGGTAGTTAGAAGACCACTTCACAAGCTACACTAGTTATTAGTGAGCTTCTGGATGCAATCTAAGGAACTGGTTCTCACCTATAAAGCTTCTAAACGGTGTTAGCTAGACTATTTGTGGGACCATCTTTTTCCAATTATTTCCACCCAACTGGTAAGATCTGAAAGGGTCAGCATGCTCCATATTGCTTAGGCAATGTCATCTGGTTGGACCCAGGAGATATACCTTCTCTGGTGCCACTCCCTACCATTTGGAGTAGCATCCTCTGTGAGATTTGGACAGCCCCAACTCTGCCTACCTTTCAAAAGGCTTTAAAGACCTGGCTGTTTCCCTGGGCACTAGGTCAGAGAGTGGTATGATCTCCTTGGATGAATTTTTTGTGGCACTTTATGTCTTTACATTTTTGTGTTTAATTTACTGTGTCATTTTTATGTAGATTTAATTGCAATTTATTGATGTGTGCTGACTTGAGTCATGTGTTGAACAGGTTGAAATTGAATAAACAAATTTTAAACTCCCACTCATCCCTCCTTGCCAAGAGAGAGAAATGTCTTCTTGGATTATTTTTTTTTCATTGGAATGTGTAAATACTCACAGCCTTAACAGTGCTTTGTAGAATGGCCTTGTGAAGAAAGCATCAAGTAGGTACTGATGAATAAGAGCAAGGCCAAGGATACGACCACTAAATCGGAACCTGTACCAGAAAAATACATAATGAAGGATGCATAATTTTACAGACCCTTTATTCCTCAAGCATTTTTTCCTTTTTCCGGTTTGAAAATAACAAAGCATCAAGTAGGTACTGATGAATAAGAGCAAGGCCAAGGATACGACCACTAAATCGGAACCTGTACCAGAAAAATACATAATGAAGGATGCATAATTTTACAGACCCTTTATTCCTCAAGCATTTTTTCCTTTTTCCGGTTTGAAAATAACATAATATATCTAATAGTGAGCAATCAAGGCATTTCATCTGAAATGTGGAAATTGTTGTGGTGATTTTATCATAAGATTGATTTCATGAGATCTGGCTTAACTTTCTAAGCAATTTCCTTCAACTTGACAGTATGACCCAGCTGTATTATAAAGGCATCTTAAAAAAAGAATTAAAAAAATATCAGCTAAATTAATGCCTGTCTTATAAAACCAAAAGTGCTTTGAGCCATATCCTTTACTGCACACGTGTTCAGTCTTTCTCAGCCTGCTGACCTCCAGAAATCAGTATGTCAACTGATCATGCTGATTGGGAATTCTGGGAGCTGCAGTTCCAACAGATCTTAAAGACACAAAGTTGGAGAAGTTGCTTTAATGTTTTATATATATCACTGAACATGTGCTGACCTGCTCTTCAAAAGAACAAAAACAAAAAAAGCAACCTTAAATTACAGCTGCAAGGGAATAGAGCTGTGAAACAATATACAAAGTGGAAAACATGATCTGGAGTGCATAGTGATATGTATGTTACATCTGTCAGCATCTCCATAAACCAAATGTGTCTTTCCCTTTTTTAAAGGTGTTGCATGCCCAGGAGCACTCCAAATCACCTTTGGTGCTTTGAATGTGGATCATAGCACTACCATAGTTTGGAGCATCATGAGGGAGGATTGTGGTCTCATATGAACTTATTAGAGAGAACACAGGACACTGGATAGGCTTTTGTTCTAATCTTCTCTGTGTTTGTATGTTGTTCTTAGAAGTGTTTTTAAAAAATAACAGGAAAAACACATTTTCATGCCATTTTCATGCTTTACCTACTGTTTTTTCCGCATACTATTCAGTTGTAAGACACAGATATTATGCAAAGAAAATGGTAGCAAATCTACTATTGGGTATTCTGCAGACTCAAAGCTTTGCACTTGAATGAACTTTTTGCTTTAAAATAATGCTAAAAACACTACTTTAAAAACAGTTAATAAAAATATTTCTCTGAAGGAATTTAAATATGATGCAGTAAGCCCTGGTTAAGATTCATTTTCAGATTCAACAAAATGTATGTACAAGAACAAATAACAGAAAAATAAACCGTAACTGAAAGGCAAATACCTCAGTTAAAGTCTTATTTATCTTCCTAAATAAGTGAAATTGGAATGTTGGGAGTTTTCTTTCCCTTTTGAAATGCAAAAGAGAAGAAAATATTACTAAAGACAGAGGTGAACAATTAAATAGATATGATCCTCTGTAAAAATCTCTATATAGATCCTAATCTCAAAGAATCTTACATACAGATATAGATGGGAATTATGGTAATTGTAATCCATACATTAGCACAATATAGGAAAGGCTGGTATATATAATTGAAACTGAAGGCCCCCTTGCTGTATCCCACTAAGGGGGTATCTAATTCAACCATCTGTTCCAACAGTGGCTATAGGCCTATGCAATATCCACAAAATCGGACATGGGGCATTATAGCATTATTTTGCTTGTGCTCACCAAAAACTTGTACTGATTGAGGAATCGCTCATCTCATCCTTTATTTTGATATGAACATGGATTCTGAATATGTATATGCACACAGAACCCCCCACAAGCTACATCCCCATATTTTACATGAAGCAGCCTTTCAAACTCTGATAACTGGCTTTAATGACTTTAAAAGGGAACTCATAAAAGTTTAGTCTGTCAATATAATTATTTTTAAATGGAAGTCCCAAGTCTATATGTGGTACATGTGAATACCAGGAACAATTTCATTCATGTGTCCTTGTAGGTATCTAGATAACTGCTATTGGATATAGGTTACAGACCTAAATAGAATCCTTGCTCTGATCCAATAGAAGTATTATTTGGTTCCTATTAGGGCCAGTTTCTGTTCGTTAATTTTGGAAAATAATTCTCCAGATGATGAGTGTCATCTGGTTGCTTGCTCTCCCTCTAGGATCTTGCACAATTGAGAAAATGTTAAATGTTCCCCCTCCCTGGCTGTACTTTAATGCCTCTATTTAATATGCAAAAATCTGGCAGATGAAGTGTTTTCCTATTACTTTAGCACCTATTAGAAAAAGCAGTCTTCTACATTACTGAATGTAATAAGGCTGCTTTAAGCACAACTGGGAAACAAGGAAAGGAATAACTGTTAATGAATACAAATTCTATTCTGGAGGATTGTTTGTTGACATCTTTAATCTTATTAAAAAGCTCTCAGTGTACACCTGTTTCCTTTCTTCCACAATACTACCCTTTCAGCACTTTGCAAGAATTAGCAATAAACCCTTACTTTGGCCAGTTATATATAGTTCTTTCCAGTGGTTCGTTTTACACAGTATGATTTGATGTATGTTTATTCAAAAATAAATTCAACCTTATTTAAAGATAGCTTAACTCTCAAATAACTAAGTAGACATGGGATTACAATCTTAATGACCAAGCCTCTTTCAATGTTTTCCTTCATCTACAGTACTACTGAGGAATTATTGGACATATATTTAATATACACAGTGATAAATTCACCTCAAGTATATCTAGTAGGAAGGAAATGTAATGAGATCACAGGCAATGAAATCTCCTCATTCCATTTGTTAGCCAGCATGTTAAAGTTGACAGAAGGAATAGTAACCTAAGGTTATAAAATCCTGGATGAATCTGTTAAAATACTCCGAAATATCAAAGGTATTCATCATTTCTTCCAGTGTTAATTTTCAGTAAAATTGCTTTCCATCTCATAAGCTGCTTTATCTTAGTAATTTTTTTAAAAAATAAGAGAATCAGTTTGTTATCCGGTTCCATTTGTTTTCTCTCCACGTCTCCTCCTGGAACACTATACTGTATGAAATGGTAAGAAGTTTGATCCAATTTTTCTGAAGGACACTGAACTAAGAGTAGTTAGTTTAGGTATCTGAGAGTTGTTCAAACCATTCAGAATCTCTCTTGCTTACCTCTCTCATCACAAAGATAGAAGATGGAAAATAATAAAAATTACAGGAATATTGGGCTTCTCAGTTGGATACAATGGACAAATGAGACAATTTTGTTCATATACATTTCTTGGGGAATATCTTTATTCTCACAAATGGATTAATGTATACTCTGCAATATCCAAATAACTTGCAATTTAAATGTGGAGTTTTGCACCACAAAAAATGCATATCCATCATAAAAAGTGGTAAAACTTTCCATAAATCTTTTGACACTTTTTCTCACCAGCCAATAAATTAAATAAACTGTATTTGGCTAATGTACATTAAACAAAGTTTATCTTATAATTATGTTTTGTCCTTTTTAAAAGAGGCAATTTATTTATTGAAAAAGAGTATCACTTGATCCCTTATTACAGAACTACACATAACTGAAATGAAATACACCATCTTTATTTGCTCTAACACTGAGAAAAGAAATACTCAGTATTTCCTGAATCCTTGCTTCTTCGAGTTGCTATAACCAAGGAACTTATTTTATTGCACTTAATTGAAAACTTTATTGAAAAGCCATCTGACTCCCAACACTAAGAGGGAATGAAAAGTGCTTTGTGTAAATGGTACTGCAATGCCATTATAACAAAACAGCTGCAAGACACAATTACTATATTGGGGAATGTTTTTCACATGTTGCAAAAAGGCCCAGTTGGGAAATGAATTAAAATTCTATTAAGTACAACAATGTCTTTTTTTCTGAAGGAATTATTTTTCTGAGGGGACTTGTCTAGTATGTCAAGTATTAATACTATTGACAGTGTTGCTGTCAAATATTATCAATAATTCTGGTAGCAAAATTATCTCCACTAAAAACAGCTTTTATATTCCAAAACACATAGACAATTATGAAACCTTACAAAAAGAAACGCTTAGAGTGCTGCAATGGAAACAAGGACTGAACCAGACTAAGCATATTTGGGCCTACAGTGGGGTGACCAGAGCAGCAAAACATAATATTTCTTTCTCCTTATTACATCCACAGATGTCCAGCCAGTGTTCCTTCTGAAAGTGACCTCTACCCTATTGGGAAGAGATGTGCAAGAGGACCATCTAAGTGGGCAATGTAAGGAATTTTCAAGGCGTCTGGAGAACTAAGTCACTCAGATTCACTTGGAGCTTCATACTAGCTGGGCAGGTCCAGAGGAGAAGGCTGAGATTATCTGGGATGAGTTTCATCCTGTGAGTGCTGAGGAAGTAGATGGGATCCTCTGCAGCATCAGCTCAGGCACCTGTAGTCTCGACCCCTTCTCCTCATTGATGGAAGCCTCCAGGGAAAGGAATTGGAGCAGTGGTGAATAAGTCCTTCAGAGAGAGTTACCCCTTTCTTTGAAAGAGGCAATGGTGTGCCCCATCCTCAAGAAACCAATGCTCAACCCAGATATACTGATGACCCTTGGTCTGTCTCAAACCTCCCCTATGGTTGTGGAGACAGTGGTTGGGCTGCAGCTGCATAGGGCTTTGGAGGAAACGGATTATCTGGACCTGCTTCTATTAGGTTTTAATCCTGAATTTATCATGGAGATGACATTGATCATGATCGACTGAACAACAACAACTAGATGATCTCCTGCAGGACCAAGATGACCCTTCTGGTCATGTTTATTTCTTTTATATTTCAATACCGTCAATCACAACATCCTTCTGAACTATCTCTGAGGGACAGGAAGCGGGGGGTGGGGGCTAAGGACTGTATTGCATTGATTTTCATTGATGAAAACTTGATTGTTTCAGCAAACCAAGAGGGTTGAACTGTGGTGACTCCCCCCTTGGATCAATAGGATTTTTGTTGTTGTTGTTGTTTTTATTTTACTGTTAATGCTAATGTTTTAGTCATGGCTTCCAGTTCTACAGAAATAGTAAGTATATATTCTTTTAAAATGGGATTTATATGGTTTTGATCCCAATTATGTGTTGGGGAATTGTACACCACTGAAAGTCAGATCCCTGTAAAATAAGTCACTAAGTAAAAAAGTAGATAAGTAACTAATGCTGGATATCATCGTTTTTAAACAAAATCAAGGATTATAGGGCAGGGAAGGTTTTATCTGTTGTCGTGCCTTATTCACCTCTAGAACCTATCCCACAGATAACTTGCCTGAAATCTATATCAAGGTCTTTTTAGTCCCAAATGAGGATCTTTATTCTTTCTGGCCTTTTACCATGTGAAAATGTTTTCATTACAGATTTTCATTGCTGTGTTCATTCTACTTTTTGTAAGTGTTTTACTGGTTTTTTAAAATTATTATTATTAGAACTTTATAAATGACCCTGCTAATTGTATCTGGAATGGTGACTTCACAGTTTGTAATGAGCTGGTAGCTTATGTACTGTGCACATCTCTCCATTTCTTATTTGGGATCTTTCCCTTGAAAATACTACAGCTTCTTTCATCAATTCTCTCACAACTTATAGCAGTGACAGAAATGCACTTCTGTTCATAAGCTGTGAAAGGCGTATACAGTATTAAATGTAATGAGATCTACAACCCTGCATCTGTTTTTATTTTTTTCTGATTAGGAAAACCAATCATGAATTATGTGTTCACATTTGTTTTACCCAAATTGCACGTCCCTAATATTAACTAAGAAATCAAAGGTAACCTCAACATATAATTTTCTAACTTACCCGGTAAAAAAGAAAAATTGAGAGCATATAATCACTTTAATAAGCTTAGTTTAGAATGTAGGGAAATCACATCCAACAAGGATATAGTCTATTTAAAATGTACATATTTAAATAAAACAATTACTGCTGATGGGCAATGTTTGCAGATAGTTTTCATTTAACAAATTGCTTTACAAGCTGAACAAGCTCCTGTCAAGTTCACTGTGTTGCTCCCAATTAGCAGATGATTTAGTGACTGCAGGACAGGGTTGTCTGGATGTAAGTAGAGCAGATCTCTTGCTAAATTTATCAGGTAACTTTGCAATCTCATCTCTTTTCAAAGAGATAGTTTCTAAGCATAAATGTATTCATACATACATACATACATACATACATACATACATATGTGTGTGTGTGTGTGTGTGTATAAAATCTTTAAAACTGGAAGCAATAAAGGTGAGAATTGAATGCCATGTTGTTCATTCACTGAAATCTTGCAAACTAATCAGAGTGCATTTTTTCAATGGAGAAAACAAGAGATAAACAATTATGTTATTGAGATGGAAGCAATAATAATGTGCATTTTCTGGTTTTTTACTATGGATAAAATACTGCGCACACAGGATCTTTGATTTCAACCTGTTCCAAGGCCATCTAATGTAGGAGGTAGGGAAATCAGGGTTTCTACTGTGAGATCTTTCTTCCGAAATTCCCTTCCCAACTGGGTACCTGCAAGATCAACACCTAAGCAGTTTGCAGGAAGTGGATGCAGTATTTATTCAACCTGTGTTTGTGTGCATGGAAATCTATACAGTAGTTAGATTATTTGGTCACATAGCCCCAGGCTGTCTTCTGGCAATGGCTTTCTAAGGCATCAGAGGAAGAGGTCCTTCCCACTATCTGCTACCTAATCCTATTTTAATTGGAGATGTAGGTAGTTACCACTCAGCAATGGTGCTTTGCTTTGGTTGTAAGTTCCAAGAATTTCTACTTACAATGCTAATGATTTCAGCATAGATAATTTTAACTATTTCCTTCATGTGGAATACATGAGCTGGATGCCACATGATTCATGAGCTACAAGGCATATGAAATGATCTAAACTCAGTTTTATGGAAACAAATATGAAGGGGTTTTTGTTTTGCTTTGCTTTGCTTTTTGTGGCAACCACATGGAAGCATTTTGGCAGTGCCTTCTTTTGAATGTTTGAATGACATCTCAGTTTAGCCTATAGCTCCAGGATTTTCTGGTGGTCTCTCATCCTAGTCCTAATCAGATATGATCCTGGTTAACATTTTGAGATTGGCCACATTCTAGTAAGTGCTGCCACTCAGCTGGCTAAATAATAAAGGTGCACAAGCAAAACCAGAGCCCTGATAGAATCGGATCCAGTCTTTGCAGACAGGCAACTTGCCCAGGCATTGTGAGAGAAAATGTGAATTTGGATTTGAACTTTAATTCTATAGAAAATGCTAGGACCTAAGTGACCAATGGAGAATTTAACTTCTGCTGAATGCTTTTTAATATGATTTGGTATGCTAATTGTGATTTATGGATAAAAATTTCCCCTTAATTTTTATAAGCACATTTGTCTTATAAATTTAGTTCAGTAGTGCTTTAGTGCAAACCTCTATTACATCAATCTAGTTCTATGCTGAACAATGGCCTGGGAGTTTGGGATGGCAGATGAAGCTTCTTAACTAATAAAATGTTTAATACTATTTACTTATGTAACTGTATACCATATCAACAACATTAAAAAGAGGAAAAAAAAAGTTAAATAGGGAAAAATACTCCCTATGCATTTATCAAACACTTTGTCTTTAAATCTCCCAAGACCATAGGAACAAATTCTTTTTCTTCACTGGTTGATTGACCAAAAGTATCTAAAAACAGGAGTTCCCTGGATAGGTAAAATCAGTTAATATAATAAAATAAAATATAAAAATATAAAACAATACAACTGGGGTGCGCCTTCTCTTTGTTTCCCTGTCTTTCCACTTCTGCTGAAGCCTTCAACCAGATCTATTTTGTAGCTTTCCGTTCTGTCAAATAAGTTATTAGATTGTACTTTTTTTACTTCTTTTATTAAGGTAATTCTGTCATGGATAATACTTGGCTCCTATATTAACAATTAAGTTTGACTGATTGAGTAATTCTCTTCCCAAGCTTTTGTTAATGCTTGAGGCTTTAGCCATTCTCAGTTTTAGCTGCCTCACTGTAGGTCCAACACTGTGACAGAATTTCATATGTATGAACTACAATGGCATTGCAGTTTATAAAATACTACACTTGAGAATAAGATTTTTTAATTAAAGTTTATTCGATTTTTTAAATTGAGAATTGCTATGATATGTAGTACTTAACTGGAAAACTTACCATTCCAGGTGATTTTCTACAAATGCTGACATGGGGCTGATCTGTACAGTGTAAGTATCATTGGCTGAATACTCAAACAGGCCATAGTAAGGATTGAAGAGCTCCTGAGAAAGAAGGAAGAAGAATTCCCGGGATGGGCCACTGTAATCCAAGCTGAAAAAAACCCACATGGAATGGACCCTTTTACTAATCATACATGTTTTATGACAAATAGCTGGTGCTGCCTCTTTATCAACCTTAAGCAAATAGGTATGTTTTGGATGTTTTGTGAATGGATTTTAAACTTTACTCAGAATTAATTCTCCAGATCAGTTTTGAAATCAAATGTAAACTTGGAATGTTAAAATGAAGTTGCATTTCATAGGCTCACATTTTCTAAATCACTATTTTGAACTTGTTATTTTTTATGCTGTGCTACTAGAAGGGGTGGAGGTCAGCAGAGAGATGCCTCTCTCCTCCAAAATCTGTTTCCTAATTGTAGTGCCATTAAGAAAAAATGCAGTGTATGTAGGAGCAGTAAAAGTAATGGACTGCAGCAGCAAAAAAATTGCATAATCAATAATGAATAATTATTATAAACATACAGAAAACAAATATCACTCAAAATTTGTTATGTTTATTTTGGAGACATTATTTTGAATTCTTCCATAATTTACTACTATGTGTCTCTACATAATTATTATTTATTCTTGATTATTTAACACCCTCATATTAAATGATATTTTCATCTGATCTAAAATAATGACAATAAAGTCACTTACAATACCATTGGATGGAACATTAATTTATGCTGTGTCTTTTAAACAAATGCCAAGAATGTGAGGTATTTCATGATTTGTGACTGTCTTCAAGGCCCTTCCCCGAGACAACTGGCAAACAAGTATTTCCTAGTATGATTTGCCCAGGCCTAATATATATTATAATTTTATACATACAGTATATATAATTATAATCAATTCCTACCAACTGTTGTCCTTCTTTCATTATTAACATGATTTTAGCCTGATTCCAATAATAAAGATACTTTATTCCATAATAAGTAAAAACATTTAAATATTAGAACAAATTCCTCAGCAAATATGTAAATTTCACCTCCTAAACCATTCAAGTTCAAGGTTGTTCATTCACTTATAAATCTTTGAATAAGTCTGAACAAGGAGTTGTTAATTCACTTGTAAGTTCTTATTGGCTATGCAATTACTGGCAGCTCCCGTAAAAATGCAAGACGCTATTTATATGGGCTAGCCAGTAATTGCTAGCCATGTTTTGCCATGTAATTGGAAAGGAAGGAAAAAAGAAAATAAGAATTGCCCTGAACATACCAATCCTTTATATACCTATATAATATCCTTCATTTGAAATAAACAAGGAAGATACTGGTATTGTAAGAGTGATATTTCTTCTGTGGTGCTGATTCCTACGTTGCTCTCTTGATTAGCCCATCATGACCTTTTCTACTACAATGCTATGGTATTATGATGCTGAAAACACAATATTTGGATTAAATTCCTTGTCAGTTATCTTGTATAACTTATTCCATCTGGAACTCAATCCATATAGGATTACGGAGAGACAAGCTTCTTGGCCAAATTTTGTGGCTACTTACCCTTCTTCTCCAACAAATGTGACATAGAGTTTATTTCTTTGGAGCTCCTTCCGTGAGTAAGCCATCACCTGATTAAAAGTGCCTTCCAGCAAGTGGTCACGCCTTATTATTAATCTGGAGTGGGATGAATGAGAAGTAATTATGTAAACTGGATTATCCAATTATTGTTATTGCAGTAATTAGTTAAGTATAAAGTTCTCATCTGCAATAAGCTGCTTCAATATTGCTTAAGCAGTTGTGGGACACAGTCTGACCCATTCGTTTCTTTGTAAATAAAACAAAGTTATAAAGTCTATCAGCAAAGGATTATAGTGGTAAAATCTTCCTTGTTAGAACTGTGCTGCTAAGTAAGCACAAAAGAGATTTCCAGCGATGATGCCTCAGCTTTGGAGCATTGTCTCTAAATTAATATGCTGAGGACTTATTTTACAATGTTTTCAGTGCCAGTAGTTTTTATTTACCCAAGTATTTTAATCTGTATAGTCCTTTAATGTACCTTCTAAAACTTTATTTCCTATGATTGCCTAACAATAAAGTTATAATGGATTCCAAATTGATCTGTTTGGGGAATTAGGAAGTCTACCAAGTTAAATGCAAAAGGACTGATCAACTTGTTCTTCAGCCTTGATTAACCAATGGCTATCTGATCTTTTATGGTTGGGTATTGGCTAAATTCAAAACAACTGACCATAATTCTCAACAAATCCTTAGCACTCCACAAAAATTACCAACAGAAGTTACAGGAAGAGCAGGAAATTTTATTCCTTTCCTATATAAAGGCTTCCAGTTAAGATGGCGGGGAGAATGACAGCTGCAGAGCCGCTGTCCTTTTAATGTTATGCTTTTTGTATGTGTCTGCTGTGTGCATGTTTGTTGTGTGGAGGGATGCTCTGGACTGGCACTCACCCGTATAGAAGCTGGACTGCTCGGGTTTGTTTGGACTTCTTCGACTGGAGGAGTGTGAGCAACGGAAGCACTTATCGTTTTGCAGTGCTTGCCACACCTACTGCTCTGACTGCATTTGCTGCGTTTGTAAACTTGGTGGCTCCTTTGAATTCAGTGGTGGCATTTTTTGGGACTAGCTCAGCTGCTGCTGCCGTGGTTGCTGCTGGAGTTGCTATGTTTGCAGCGTTTGCGCATTTGTGACCTTGGCGGCTTTTTTGAATTTGGGGGCAGCGTTCTTGGACTGGCTTAGCTGGCTTGGCTGGAGGAGTCTGTTGCTGCTGGAGGGACTTGTTTGCACTGCTTTGGAGAACTGCCCAAGCTGTTTCTTTGGGGAGTGGACTGAGGAGCTGCTCCAACTGTGTCTTAGAGCTCTGGGGTGTTGTAGCCTTTTTCCATCTGGCTATCATTGGCTCATCATCTGGATGCTGTGGCTCTGGAGGTGTGGGCGGGGGCTAGGCGGGGGGGTTGCAGTGGAGTGGCAGACAGCTGTAGATCCCCCTCCCCTGCTGAGGCCTTTCTCCTTCCCTCTGGTAACCTTGAGAAGAAGAAAACCCCACCACTCCCATTTAATGGTGAAGTGCCTGGGAGTTGGCTTCCCATTGGATATTGAATGTTATTTCCCCTCTTTGCCTTTCCCTGGGTGAGAGCCAGAGGTGGGCTTGGTGGGAGGGTGAAGGGTGGGAGCCTGTGCCAGCTGGTGGGAGCAGCAGGGTAGGAGGTCCTGGATGCTGAGTGGGGTGTGTGTGAGTGTGAGTGGGTTTGAATGTGTTGATCCTCTCTGGGTGAGAGTCGGAGGAGGAAATTGATGAAGGGTGAATGGGTAGGGTGCCCACTGCCTGCTGGTGGGAGCAGCAGGGTAGGAGGTCCTGGATGCTGAGTAGGGTGTGTGTGAGTGTGAGTGGGTTTGAATGTGTTGATCCTCTCTGGGTGAGAGTCGGAGGAGGAAATTGATGAAGGGTGAATGGGTAGGGTGCCCACTGCCTGCTGGTGGGAGCAGCAAGGGAGGGATCCCTATGTATATTTGTGTGTGAGGCTGTGGGAATGGAGTGGGGGAGGTGGTTGCTGGGCTCTGAGAGCTCTGAGAGCTAGTAAGCTAAAGAGCCTCGGGGTCCCCAGTTCCCCTCCCAGGTATGGCTAGTAAGGACAGCAGATGCTCCCCAGTTTTGGGAATTGAGGGGCATCAATATAGGGATGGGGCTGCTGTTGGGGAGATGGGGGCGGGCCAAAATATTATGGTGGTGACAGGCATGGGGAGATATGGCGGGAGACGGGGAGCAGGCCATTCCTGGGGACCGCAGGACCATTGTTTGTTGCAGGTTTCGTGTTCCAGCTCCTCAGTCTCAGCCCCGGTACCCTGTCAGCAGACCTCCAGAGGCTCTGGTCTCCAGCTGCTGCTTCTAAATGCCAGGTCAGTCTGTAATAAGGCATCCCTTATCAGTGATTTACTCAGGGATGAGAAGGCTGACCTGGCATGCATCACTGAGAGCTGGCTGGATTTGGAGGGGGGGAGCCCTCGCAGAGTTATGCCCAGCTGGGTTTCGAATGTGGCATCAGCCGAGAGTCTGGGGCACCAGATGTGAGATCCTGTTCATCAAGTTGGGCTCTAGGGATCAGTTGGGATTGCTGCTGTTGTACCAGCCTCCCTGCTGCACAGCAACTTCCCTGCCTGAGCTCCTTGAAGCCATTTCTGGGTTGGCAGTGTAGTTCCCCAGGCTTATGGTCTTGGGGGACTTCAATTTGCCTTCTCTAGGGATGGGGTCAGAGGGGGCTCAGGAGTTCATGGCCACCATGATGGCCATGGGCTTATCCCAAATCATCCAGAGCCCAACACGGAACAGTGGTCATACACTGGATCTGGTGTTCCTGTTGGAGCAGTGGCTATGTGATCTGAAATTGGGGGAGCTTTTGGTGTCCCCCTTGTCATGGTCAGATCACACCTTGATTACAATGGGATTCCCTAGCACCACTATCTACTGCAGGGAGGTTGGACCTATTAGATCATCCACCCCCGGTGACTAATGGACCCGGATAGATTCCAGAGGGAGCTGGAGGTTGTTCCTGTTGGTCTGCTGTACAGTCCATCTGAAGCCTTGGTAGCCACTTGGAATAAAGGGGTGGCAGAGGCTTTGGATCGGATCATGCCCATGCAACCTCTCTCCTCTCGGAGATCCCGGCACTCTCCGTGGTTTACGGAAGAGCTAAGGGAGAGGAAGCGAGAAAAAGAGATGTCTAGAGCATCACTGGCGCTCGATGAGGGACAAACTCGACCGAACATGGGTTAGAGCTCCTATTCATGCCTACGTAGTGGCAATAAGGGCGGCGAAGTGTCATTACTACTCTGCTCTTATTGCATCTGCAGATAGCCGCCCCGCAGCCCTGTTTTGGGTGACACGAGCCCTCCTGGATAAGGATGGCTTGGAGAACCTTCTGCAGGGATGTGCAGAGGAATTTTCTCGGCATCTGTCGGATAAAATCACTCAGATTCATTCTCAGTTGGATGCTGGCTTTACTTCAGGTCCAGTGTCTTGCCCTGTTATCTGGGAATGGTTTGAACCTGTTGGACCTGAGGAAGTGGACAGAGTCCTTGGGGTCCATGCCCCTCCTGGCTTGTGAAAGCAGTCCAGGGGTGTCGTGCAAGTGGGTTCTAGCAATGGTTAATGCATCTTTGAGTGAGAGGGTTGTTCCCTCACCTCTCAAGGAAGCCTTGGTTTGGCCCCTCCTCAAGAGGCCATCACTAGACCCAACTATACTGGACAATTTCCGTCCAGTAT